GCAAGACACAACAAAATACAATATTTGTTCAGATATGTATGTTTCCAGAGAGCAGTAAAACCTTAATAATAATAAATCATTGCTCATTATATAGCACTTTTCTGGACACTCCACTCAAAGCTCTTTACAGGTAATGTAAACATTACATTACCAATGTGCAGCACCACCTGGATGCCATAGTGCGCCAGAACGCTCCCCACACACCAGCTATCAGTGGGGGAGTAATGAAGCCAATTCAAAGATGGGGATTATTAGGAGGCCATGATTGGTAAGGGCCAATGAGAAACTTGGCCAGGATGCCGGGACTACACCCCTTCTCTTTTCAAGAAACGCCCTGGGATTTTGAATGACCACAGAGAGTCAGGACCTCAGTTTTACGTCTCATCCGAAGGATGGCCCCTTTTCTACAGTATAGTGTCCCCGTCACTATACTTGGGCTTTAGAACCCACATAGTCCATAGGGTGATCGCCCCCAGCTGGCCCAACTGACACCTCTTCCAGTAGAAGCCTTAGTTTTTCCCAGGAGGTCTCTCATCCAGGTACTGACCAGGCTCACACCTGCTGAGTTTCAGTGGGTTGCCCGCTGTGAGATGCAGGGTGACATGGCAGCCAAAACCTTTCTTTTATTACCCACTTCTGTCCACAAAAACACAGAAAAGGTTACAAATGAGAGGAGACTCTTGTGCCCATCTTGTCTGGCTATAAAGTAGTCAACAAAAGAAACCAATGGATGTGATGCAAAAATAGCAGCACTTAATTCAGAAAGCCATGTCAAAGGAGTACCTAGGGTACCACAGAGTCTAAGCACAAGGAGCATTCTAAAAAAACTGGAGAGTGCTGGAGAGTTGCTAGCGCTTATGGAATATGAAGTTGTGAAAATCCTTAATCCAGCGTTGAATGGCTTTATTCTGTTCCTGTTTCCCTTCTTCAACTCACTGGGGTCACCGTGCTGCGTCAGGTAGTTTGTCGCGTTCTTCTTCATCCCACTTGCCCTCCAGGTCCTCCTCACACCTTCCATTATTGAAGACGTGCAGTACGCAAAACCACACTCATTTTACACCCTCATACTACAGGACACTGAGTGAGATTGCCGGGGGTATGCCCATTTACTGTATATATTGACATGTATCTTACCGGGGGTATGCCCATTGACATGTGCCTGCGTACAATTGTGCCATGCAGGTGAGATCAGGTTTATTACAGTGTTAGGATCCAAAGATGCAGGGGATAACCACTGTCAAAAAATAATACAACCTCACTCATAATAAATCTGAAGCTTATGCAAAGAAATTGAATGTTGTGTGAATTTATGTTGAAGCTTTTACCTAGCAAACAAGCATATCCTAAGCAGTAGCCCATACTGCTCATTGTCCAGCAGTTGCATCTATTCCATGTCCACTTTGCACCAGTAGAGGATGTGACACGGTTATTTCCTCTTAAGGCACAATAATAGTTTAACTACTGAACATATATCTGTGTATTATATTATATCTGTGTATTATTTTATCTTTCTCATGCAGGAAAAGGCTGATGCTTGGAGAGAAAACCCTTTCAGCTCATCTTCTGTCTGGTGAATCTGTGATCCTAGTGTCTCCTCCTTGCTGAAACTACAACTGCCATTGTCAGTACAGACCTCTCCTGCAACATATTGCCTTTACTAGGCTGAAATGATCAACAAGATCGGTTATGCCTCTGGAGTCACACAAATTCTCATGCTACTGTGATGACACAGTTGCCAAATGTAAAAATTTTCCAGATTCTTGTGTGATCTTCCCTTATGTACATTAAAATGTACATAGATATGAAGGCCAATGGTGTACAGTACCTTTGCTTTAGTTCATCAGCTTGTGACTCAATGACTCAAAGATTAATTGCAACTTTGAGTCATTCTACCTGTTTATATGTACTTAAGAGTATGTTCTTCTGGCCTAGTAAAGTACTTTTACATTTGAAGAACTGATACACACACATCTGAAAAAATCTGGCCCACTTTGCTTTAAAAATCTGAAAACGATTGAAACAGGTATGAAAAAGCTATCAGAACCTATTGATAAGACAGACCAGCATTTGCAGGACATTTTTTTTTCCCAATTAGGCTAAAGAAAAAAGCAACAGCCACAAACAGGGCACTATAAATTATTTAAATGTCCAAAGCTTTTCATAAAGCAGTAGACATTCAAGTTCATATGTGTTCTGATTAAGAATGCTTCATCGATAAGAAGACGGTACAGATAAACAGTGAATTCTCAGGATGGGGGAATATTATTAGTAGGAGCACTAAAGGGATCTACATTAGGACTTATGCTTTTCGTAATTTATGTCAATAACTCAGATTCTGGTCTTGTTAGCTAACTAGTAGATTTAGCAGTGATACCAAAATACAGAGGAAGGCTTTGCAAACAGTATAGCTGATGTGAAGTAAATTAAAAAAAATGAATTCAAGACTGAATAAAGAAACATAACGGGAACCACTAGAAGAATTTGAGGGTGCTATTTATGAAAAAGACATGCTTATGCTGAAAAAAATGTTTACATCTTTTACATGATGTGGGGAAGCAAAATAGGGACAGGAAATTTTAGGATATATACTCAGAAGTGAAGAATTTAAATATAGGAAATGCTTCTTTGTTAGAATTGCTCCATTATTGACTAAGGTGACATCTACAATACGGTCTACAATTTTAGGTCACAGGATATAAAAAACAACTTCTGCTGCTATGAAATCAGTCCAGTGAAGAATAACCAGATACACTCCCAAGTTAAAAAGATGGTTAATCTATGTTTCGCAGGCGAGATACACCTATTGGGCCCCTGACGCCCTCCTCAAAATAGCACAAAAACTGACGTTTCTGCCACAGTTTGTATCGATAAAAGCTGTCCTTATGTTGCTTTCATTTGTGAGATATAAGAGATTCCTTTTTAGGGTGCAATGTCACTTAGTGCCCCAACAATGGCACAGGTGAATCAAGCTCACTTATGCTATGTTTGTGTCAGTCTGTACCATTTAGACCAGTGTATGTGCTGCCTTCTGTTCTGAGATGTTAGCTGTGTTCTATAATTACTCTCACAGGCCTAAATTACCAATCCCACTGCTATATGTCACACTTGATATGCACATTCCTATTAGATCTGATTGGAGTAAGAGAACAGAAGAAACATTAGCAGCTCTGGTGATTTAAGGACACCTTTTCAAGAGGAAACTCCTCGACTTTGAAATTGTGATTATCTAAAACATTTGAAAATGACTTCAACTATTCCAGATTTAATTATTGAATCAAGATAAACAGGAATGAGACATAAAGCAGCACTTAAACCTAAATATTAAGTATTTAAAATGTAACTGGTAATGTAACATAATGTTTTTGCCATATAATCATTCATATTTCAGGAGTTGTGAAACATCCCCAAAATAAGCTGTTTTCAGGATTAGATCAATGTGACTCCCTTGGGTTCAAATTTCAATTTAGCAGCCTCATCTTTTTATTACCCAAATGACACTGTTAAACCCCAGTGACCCACTGAGCTCTTATTTATCCATATGAAGTGTGTTTTTAAATTACTTTGATATGGCTTGCAGATACTATGACTAAAATCTACTGTATACGTGTGTGAATGTGGTCAAGTTATAAAGATTGTGAAAGCACCACAGTTTATTCAAAATTGAAAAAAGCTGGTACCTTTCCTAGGTGTAAACAGTCATATCTCAGGATCAATTAGGAGCTGATCACTTAAATTTCAGATTTTTCCACATACTGTATTGCTTTCACTAACATGATCATTTTAACCCACATGTATGACACAAGATGACATTTTTCAAAAACGTTTTCTTGATTCATAACATGCAACTCTAATAAGAGAAATCTACACTAATTTAAATACAAATTTCACAAATAATAAAGAAATCTGTATTTAAAATCATGTTTGAGACCCTGTTTTTGAGCTTCCTTAAGGATTGGATTCAATAACATTGAGAAATACCCACAAACATAAAAATCAAGTCAACTCAGAATTTATATATTTGTTTAGAACACAAAGATCTACATGGTTTTCATAATACCTCAGGTATGTCATGTCACTGTTTGAGGTGACATGTTTTTTTTTTCTCTGCTGCCTCACAACTGTGTCTTTGTTTGTGTGGGTGGGCTTTCTTTGGCTGGGTTTGACTAGCGTCCTCTCCAGGGAGACAGCAGTAATGTGCTCTGAGCCTCACCTTGTACCCTGTGATTGGATGGGCTCCTGTTTGTGATCCTCATCTGAATAAGCTGCTTTCAGATAACAGACAGACATCCATTTTCATTTAGGAAAAAAAAACTTGAAAATCTGAATTCTTTCCTCACAACAAACAGCGAATCTCAAATAACTGTTTTTGTTTTCTGTTGTAGAGTCATGATCCATTATATTATTGTGCACATAAATACTTTAAGGCTGCTTTTTGCTAAAAAATAAAATTGGCTTTTTCCTTCTCAAAATTAATTTCTTACTCCTAACCAGCAAAAAGAAAAAAAATGGGGAAGAGAGATAGCAAAAAAATAAAACAGCACAAGACCACACAGGTAAAAACACCCAAGGACAGAGCCCTTCACAAAACACCAAACATATATAGTACATTACGCAAACATTCAAATTAACCAAAACCTTGGAAAAAATAAAAGAAAAAAAAAACAGAAACTATTTTACATAGTTGAAATGGTAATTATTTGTGTCCATTTAAAAAACTATATAGACCATAAGCTGATTAAAGATTAATGCAAGTCACACATGGGGTGAGTACTGTCAGGATGTCATTCAAGGGCAAATGTGCTCCTGTACAAAAATTGTTCCATTTCTTATATCTCTAATATCCAAAAGTATACTTAAATAAGAAACATGTATTGTGTATGTCTTCACATTCGAAATTGTCTCTCTAGAATAACACTTAGAGTATATATTGATTTTCATAGAAGGGGAATCAAAAAGCCCTGAATAACACTTTGTATGCTAGTTTTGCGTGGAGTACTTACAATTTCAAACTTCTGGGTGACATTTCCTTGAATGTCCAGCAGGTACACCTTGCCAAAGTGAGTGCCAAGTGCCAGAAACTGAAATTAAGAGAATGAACACTGTGAAGGATCACTGTGGAAAAAGACAACTCAAACGGCAAGTACACTTCTTCATCTCGCTAAAAGTGGACAAAGACAGTTCATCTGCAGAAAGAACAGTTTTTTTTTAATTTCACATTTTCCAAAAACATAACACAAGAATAAAATTTCTCCCCACTCTGGCATCGCTAATACACCCCCTTCATGTTTCTACCAAAGGACTCTTAAATAAAGCCATAAATCTACACAAGAAAAGACCTCCATCATCCCCCACTGGCACCATGGACCTGTGCCACACAGGGCCAAATCTGACCAGTGTCGGGACAGGGCAGAGAACTCGGAGGATCCCACAGCAACACCCATGGATTCTGGGCTACAGAGAGACCACACCACCAGATCCATTTCTGCATCTGTGAGATGGAGTTATCATTTAACGGGAGTACTAGATGATAGCAGGGAATATCCTTCATAAGAATGGTGCACAAAGAAGAGGAAACCGTTTTTTGAGACACGCTGTATACCCATCCGGACTCACCCACAACGTGCAGAAACAAATCCCATGGACGGCACATACTAGAGGGACTAGGGACAAGTCTCATATAGTAGCATCCATGGAAGATTGTGTGAAGAAGCCATTCAAAGTTTAGGATTTTTTAAATGATTTGGTTAGGAATTTCTGGAAGCCAAATTTATTGTCCCAGGTATTGATTTTCAGAGTCTTTATGTGAAATGTTTCAATTTCCATTCCAGACAGTAATGGCTGCTAATGGTTTGTATGAGACCTCTAACAGAAAAACATAATTGTCAGAAGCCACAACTAAAAGAGTCCAGACTGGTAACCTGGCACCCTAAACTGTCACAAGCTGAATATACTTCTACCCATTAACTGTATCAGAAATTTAATGTATTTACCCCCTCCTAATGGGTATTGGGACAAAGTTAATTTATTTGTTTTATAGGACAAAATGTTTGACAGTAAAAACAACCTTGTCTTATGCTTTCTACTGTATGTTGCACTACACAGAATCTAATGGTAGTCTGGCCCTGCCAAATTTTAAACCCTAAACTTGGCTCAGTCATGACAATCCTGTTGCATGGCATCAGCATTAGTTTTTTCTCTCAAATTTCATCTGTCCTCATAGGTTGCAGGAGCTGCTTTTTTACAAGGTGCCTATCAGACACTTAAAATTCTAAAAAGTATAGAACTGTCATATCTAGTCATGATCCTGGCAGAGAATCATATCCAACTGGAATTGAAATGGTTTCTACAGCCCCATCCTTTCAGAATGCTTGCCTTTTAAGCGCTGATTACCCATTTGTGTCCCCACAATGGTCGTGGATGTCTTTCAAAGCAAAATATTGCAGAATATTCAATACTTGTACGATATTTTGGGTGCTTCCACTTTATTTTCATCTATCTATTTTTGCTATGAGAGGAGAGTTCTCTGTGGTACAAAATTCACTTCCTATCCACCAATAATAATGATAATAATGATAATGTTGCTTTATTAGCCCTATACAATTTCTTGCATTATGAATTTGTCTTTTCGCATACTCCAGCTTGCTCTCCATGAGACACAGACAGGGAGAGAAGCTTGGGGTCAGAGCGCAGGGTCAGCCATTGTACAGCGCCCCTGGACCAGTTGGGGTTAAGGGCCTTTGCTCAGGGGCCCAACGGAGTAGGATTTCTCTGCTGGCTGCGGGATTTGAATCGGCAACCTTCCAGTCACAGGCACAGATCCTTAGCCACAGAGCCACCGCTCCGCCCATATGATATTGAAGTAATTTCTAAGATTTCTTTTCTTCCCCTTACTTTTCTTATGAGGATATCTCATAAACTATTACGTCTATTTGGTGAAGGTACCTCTCCCTAGAGGATACAAATATTTAATGGTGTCATATCTGAAATAGTTCAAAGAATGCCTCTATAAACAATTTACTAATAGGATGTACTTAACTCTGCATAAAGATAAAATATTTTTATTGCTGACTAAACTGGTTTTCCTCAATTCAGGGAATAGTGGTAACTTTTTCTTTCAGTTTGGCAAAGTCCAAAGATTCATTTGGTTTGGAAAAAACAATTTTCTACTTCTTTTCCATCTATAGTACTTGAGAGAAATCAGCTGTTGTCCACCATTACTTGTATTGAAGACTATTCAGTGCAAATAGGTCACAAAAACAGTTTGGTTTGCAGAAACAACAGCCAGAAAGACGACCGTTGTGTGCTGATAATCTTCCCTGGTGGTAATGGTCCTTTCCTTTTAAATGTGTTTCTTCTTGAGCTTTCCACAGCCTACAGACATGGGACTAGAAACTCGACAGTTCACTTCTGGAAGTCTGCAATAAAAATTACAAAGCCTCTGAGGTCTTTTTAGTTTGATTCTCTTTCGTTAACGTTTGGTGATATAATAGAATGGGGCTGGCTGCCATCTTAGATTGGAGTCGGAGGAATCGAGACTGGGATCTGAGGTTTTCCATTTCTTGTATTCTGATAGGATGTTCATACTGTATTCTAGTACAGTAATAATCATTAAAAACAGTCTAACCTAAAAAACATTTAAGATTAAAAATAGCAAATAACCTTGTTTCATTTTTAGTGTTAAAACTTAATGTTTGCATTTTCCCATATGTGATACTGGAGGACTGGATGAAGGTTTTGTTTTACATTTTCAGATTTAGGGGCAATCTTGTGAAAATGCTTTTAAGTTACAATGCAGCAGCAGTGTGAAGTCAGATGTCAAAATGAGGCATGGGGAGCATTTTCCTGCTGACAACAAATGGTGTGTCTGCAGACTGTACACATTGGCTGATGGACTGTAGCAGGGAATTAAAAATGCAGTCTGTGAGATGCAGGGCAAAACAGCCTCTGGAGCAAAAACTGTGAAATTGATGGGGAAACCCTATTTATTAAAAACACAGCACTGTGAAATGGTGTTTTATACTATTCAGAATACTTAAACATAATAAATGCAATTCAAGACAGCTCAACACATGCCCAAAAGGTTTTCCAATTTCCCTACAGCTGGTGCTACTGTCGTGACTGCTATAAATTTGTACTCCATCATTTTACATTCCATACTGCATCTCACGTTGTACTTTTTCTTTTCCGGGAAAAAATAATAAGACTGCCAACTGATCAATATCTTGCTCAGATGTACAGTAACTGCCGAGTGAATTCTGCCTGTTAAATGTGTAGTTTTCTTAAAAGCTGGTGATTGAAAAAAAGATATGAATAAAAAAATGGAAATGGCTTACTTTTCAGCCTCAGCATTGCTAATTTTCTTATTCGGGACAGAGAACTTGACAAGTTCTGATATCAAGTCAGATATAGAGATCCAATGATAAAAATGTCCATATACTGTACTGTATATTAATAATAGGAGACAGAAACAAAGATGGAAGCCAAATCTAGTGAAACCATAACAAAATAATTCTCCATCATGACAAGACCATAATTTATAAGGAGTGTCCCTGTGTACTACCAACATCAGCACTCCAGTTGATCAGCTAACTTATGCATAAACAATACACAATAGATACGTTTATACCTTGCTTCCATAAGGATAGGTATAACATAAAAATTGAAGAAGCTGAAGTCTAAGCCCAAGGTATAGCCAGTACTAGAAGGCTGATGTCAAATGTCTTTGCTCCTTCCTTGGCTTATTTGGAGTAGCTTGTAGTACTATATATGTTATATACAGTGCTTGTATGAGCTTAACATGTAATTTCCCTAACAGAAAAAGCTTTATGCTCTCTCCTCGCTCACTAAATGCCACCTGCTGAGTCAAGCTGCTACTCGTTTCTGAAAATAAGTCGTGCCTCTGCGTATCACATTTGCTGGAATCCCTGGTCCTGTGACGGAAAAGACTCCTTAGATACAGATGGTGAAGAAAACAATTTCCATCTTAGACTTAAGTTTAACTGTCAAGACAGAAGTCTCACCATACAGGTGCTCTCACCATACAGTGCACCTGTTAGCACACTTCTTATTTAAATTTCCAAAAGGAGACAAAATTCATCAGGTGTTTTAATCAGCTAATTGGCATTATTTCTAGTATGAATTCTAACATAACATACAGTGGTAGGATTTGTGGATATTGATCTTAAATATACTACTTCTCAAGCTACACCGCATGAAATTAAGATTATAACTGCTCAGTATAGGTGAATCAAAGACGTACATTGCTCAGCAAGAGATATATACAATTGTCTTGAAAAACAGCAACAGAAACAGAAAAATGAAGGATTACAAAGGAAATCTGATAGTTCCGGTCAGCTTTAGAAAAACAACAAGAACCCCAAGATCTATGCAGCCAGAAATAGAGATTTGTGGACATGTTTATGCTGGCAGCTGCATTAGCCTTGGGTAAACCACCATATTCCAGCCTGAAATGTAACACAATTCAATTTAAGTATAAATACGTGGGGGTGTTCCATATATAAATTAAAAAGCGGCAGGGTGAGGCTTTTGGCATTAGTCAAACTGCACCTCTAAACCCCTCCGATCTGTGTTATACCAGAGAACATGCTTCAGTGCAGTCTATAATGAAATGCTTATATTTACAGGCACAACTGAGCATGTCAGACAGGGCCCCACAATCTTCGAAATAAAATAAATAAATAAGCAACCTTCCAAGATCAGGTTTAAAAGGATTTATCAAAATGGAATTGCTAAAATGAAATTCCAGTTGGAGCACTTATAATATGGAAGCAGCATTACGCAGGAACTGGGTGTTTAGAATTGGCAGTCGTGGTTGGAGGTGGTGTGAGGGACGCGCACAGACACAAAAAAAAAAGAGGAAAGAAGTGACTCATTACAAATTCAGCCCTGCAATGTCTTTCACTCCTGCAAGGTTGCCTTTTTTCAGGACGGAAAAAAAAATCCCCCGGGTAAAAAAATCAATACTGGTTAATAAAACATCAGGTGAGGAGACATAACTAGGTATGACTATTCCACCGCACAGGCCTGCTTGAATGCACCAGGTGCCAAGACGATTAGTCATCCAGTGCAGACAGGCCCTGGTGAAAATATGATGCTTTAAAATGAAGAACAAAAAAAGATTACAATGAAATCCAATGGAAAAAATATATATTTTGACTGGAGAAATGCAGATCACCAAAACATCAAAACAAAAGATACGGGATTATGGTGCTTCTTTCCATACAGCTCTTCTGGACAGACCTCCAAAACAAACTGGTTAGCTCATTTAGATTTCCTGTTCTCCAATCAAAACTAACTTTAAACACCAGGTTTTAATATAATGGATAAGCATAGTGTTTATCTGGATTTTCAGGGGTTTTCACACCCATCCATTCATATTCTAACCACTTCTTCCAGATCAGGGTCATAGCGGAGCAGGAGCCTATCCTGGCAAGCAATGGGCAGGATACCCCTTGGATGGGACACCAGTCCATTGTGAGACACACACAAACACAAACACACTCATTCACCCCTAGTGTGAATTTTTTCCCAGAAGCCAGGTTTTCACATATTTAACCATAAGGATATTTCATAGCATAATAAATGAAATATGGGAAATAATTTTGAAACCTTTTAAGCATGCACTCAGCTCTTAGTACCGATTTAGTAAAAAAGTCTTTCTGGACTTTATTTGATCAGATCAGAGAGGAAGCGAACCGGGGATCCAACACACCTTGTCATGAACTGTCATACAGCTGGCTGCATCCTTCTGTAGGATCTCAGTCACCCCATTGGCCAAGCGCTCATATTTCAGCTTTGGCTCCTCTTCACTTTCCTCCTCCTGCAAGAGAAAAAGAAAAACGTGTGTGAGATTCACACCCCTAAATCTGAAAAAAATAACGAACTCTTAGGGAGACAGAGAGAGCAGAAAGAGAACAGGGAAATGCACAAAGGCTGTACGGTAACAGTTGATGAGAAATCCAGGGATAAATCTGTTTTTTTCCAAAGGATTACTACAATGCATGTCTTTCGTAATAACTTTCCAAAATGACTAATAAAGAAAAGAATACACATGAAAGAGGAAAAGAAATACCGCCATTGTGATTTACATCCACTAATGCTCTAAATCTTTTATTTGTAATCAGAGAAGACAAATCTAGGTACCAGCTGAGACAACATTAAAATGAATATTATGTACCACAAACAGCCAGTACTCTTGCACTTTGCATTCCAATATGAACTTGGAGTAAGAGAATACACCTGTTAGTGAATATGACCCAAGGCTAACAACCATAGCATCAATCTTCATTTTAGACTCCCAAAAAACCCTGTTTCAACACTAACATGTATTTGCAAATAACTGAAATGCCAATGACATATGTTATGGTAAAGGCATTTTTCATAAATGGACAGCTTGTTCAAGCAGGGTTATAGCCACAAACGGGCTATATTTCAGTCCTGGTTGTACATGTGTTTAAATTCATGGTATTAACTTAGTAATTACATGGCAAAGTTCCACAAAGTGGATGTGTAGAACTTTGAAAGTTTAAACTCATCTCTCAACTCTTTCTACACTATGGTATTATTCATTCTGTGCAGTAGACAGTTTGTAGTGATAGATTTATCATTACTTTACATAATGCACTGTGTAATGTTCTGCATGTTGTTATTTTTTCAGATAACCTGAATAATGTTGTAAAGCTCATAAGAGCTAAAAAGTAACATTTAAATTCAAAAGCATGCACTCCAGTTACATCTCCACAAATGGCAAGACAAACTGCAAGTGAGACATTACAGATACATTTATCAAACAAAAGTGAATCAAAAGCTTCTGAGTAAGTATAACAAATTCTACTTCCTACACTTATGTGTCAGTTACATATACTCTTGGTTTAAACATTCATAAGTAACATAACTAATTTAGGATAAAGCACCCTAATGTCTAAGCCAACATCAAGCCTAGAGATATACAGGCATTGTACAGGGAGAGTACAGACAGTGTTAATATGGGACCTTCTGTATTCTGCATTATTATTTCATGTCAGTATATATTAAAATTGTGGGCAAAGATGAAAGCTGTTTGAAACAGAGTAATTTGTGTCAAGACTATTATAGCACAACTATGACTTCAGTGAGAAACTGGGCTTTTTATATTGTTCGGTTCTAATCCTTATTGTGGGTGATAGACCCTTCAAATGTAAAGCGGAATATGATGTTTTAAATCAGAAAATAAAATGGCTTCCTCGATGGTGTGATCAATATATTACTGATGATTAAAAATTGTGGTAAATAACTTTAAAAATGAGGAATCTGTCATTTAAACATTTATGTTTTAGACTGATTTACACATGTGAGGCTGTTCAGTTTCCTAATGTGCGAAACGAATGACTGTATGACTACTTTGCTTGGCTTAAAGAAGATACAGTATAGGTTCTGTTTTTAAAAAAATGTTGACATATATTCATATTAGACTGATATAAAACTTAATAAAATAATCAAATAATGAACAGGGCAAATATGGCAATTCCATAAAAGCTACTGACTAATGTGGGACTGCTGGTATCACTTAAACTGTCAATGGGTGAAGTGGATGGCTTTTTTCATCAGCAGCAAAGAACTCATTATACATACAGAATAAAAGCACTTGAATTCATCCAACAGCTAAGAGCTTTCTCTTGAGTTTAAAGAAGCTGTGTTAACATGATCCACTTTCGCATCATTATAACCTCATCTGTATAATATCCGACTGCATCTTCTGTTACATTCTTATCGCTGCTGGTGCAGTGCTTGTCCTTTTCCTGAGCTTTATCAGATCCTCCAGTGCACAATTGCTCTTTTCTACAGAAACTCAAACGGGCTTGCATTGGCATTTCTCAACAGAAATCAGGCTGCGGTGTCGAGAAAACAGAAATTTCTCGATTGCACTCTCCCATTTTCCCCACAAGGGGTCACATCAGGTTAGGCCGTGAGTGACTAAATAATTATTAGCCTGAAAAAGAATTTTGTGCCAACAATGCCATTGGGTCTGTAATGACTAAGAAGTCAGGACCACCAGAAGAACACCTCCACGCAGGGTCCCCAGGCAGCATGCTGGTACACCGACGTCTTGCCCAGATGAAAGAGCGCCACCTACTGGTAAAAAAATAGCATTATAGTGCTCTCCAAAGGAAAAATCACAGCAGTCAAAACGTAATTTTTCAAGACATTCGATTAGGTATCTGTGTCACCTGAAGGAAGGCTTCACAGTAGAAACACTTTCATTTCTTTCTCTTTCAGCATGGAATACACTGTTAGCTGTTCCTTTAAAACTCATTTTTGTTTTACAGTCCAGCAATTTGTATTTGTGGCCATTAGAATGAGAAGCACATCTCACACATTTTATTTTTTTGCAATTTCCATGCTCCCGTGTAATCATACTGGAACAAAACCAAATTTTGCGTACAACCCAATGATTTCACATGCCCACACGTATTGGGACACATGAATGGTGATGCGCCATACAGTACAGTAAGCATGAAAGCATTTTCTTCTATGCAAGCAGATAAAATGCTTCACTAAACTTTAGAGTTAATTCCGTTGCTGCCATCATTGGTTACATTGCCAATAAAGATGCATGAAGCTGTTTCAGTGGTGGCCATGTATACTCAGATCATGATATTGCTGGTATCACTACATTATGACAGGTTGTGTACCTTGTAGTACGTTTGTTTTTCTATATTTTCTATATTTTGTTCACTGCTGTGGTAACCTTTGTTAAAGGTTTATCTTGGTCTCATCTATCCACAAAACCTCTGGTTCACCTATATACTTCAAAGCAAATTCTAATCTGGCTTTTATGTTCCTGGTGCTGATGAGGAGTTTGCATCAAGCTTTCTCAGTCTTGTGTGAACTGATTTGAGACCCATGGCCGATTCTTCCTTCTTCAGTAAATTCCAAATTGTGGATTTTCATTCAGCTTTAGAATGGCCTCTTTTTCATGAGCAAAGATCAAAGTTCTGGGTTTTCAGTTTGAGTTTTGATACCAGACTCCACACACTGAAGTCAAAGTGAGACAGGTTGAAAGGATGTTCACAGTGATTTCATGAGGTTAATTACTCAACAACAAAGAGCTGACCAGATAGAGGCATTAGTCAACCAGTTGTCCCAATATTTCTGCTACCTCAAAATAAAGAGGTTTAACACTATCAACTTGCTTAGTTGACCCAAGTGGGTGGAAACGAATTGGCATCATTAAAAGTAAAATACTTAGGAGATGTGATATTTGTTTTCCTTTTTTTAATTTTTAATGTAAAAACCATTTTACATATAAACCACCATTATTCAGCCTTACTTTTACAATACACTTTCGACTATAAATCACAAGCAAAAATTGTCTATTCCTGTTTGTTCCCCTAGTATTTTACAATTATATAACTTTTAAACAAAAGTGATATTTATTTTTCATGAATCATCATTAGTACAGTAGAGTTCATATCCCAGTTTAGACTTAGGTGTCTCCGTTCTTCTAGACCAGAGACTTTGTTATTCCTTAGCGGTCTCTCATCCCAGCAAGAACTAGATCTAGCCTAACCTAGCTTCTGAGATCTGACTAGATCAGGCTATAAGGTAAGAAGGCTGCTGTCAGTTAAGCATCATCTTTTCCATAGTATTTCAGTCCATTTCAATTCTTATTTCAATTTTGCCACACATGTTAGGTATAACATTTAGTAATAAGGGAACCAGATCTTTATTTCCAAGAAAAGTAACACTTGAGATGTTTTCGTTGGCTGACTGAATTATTATTACAAGCCTTACTCTTTTCAGGTCAATCGAAGCTTGGATATGAAACCACAGCTGTGAGTGTGGTGCTATTACAGAAATGAAACCAGTCAAATTAAGCAGAGGAAAGGATCAAAATCTTCAGAAAACAGCTCTCCTCCCCCTACTGGACCCCATATCTATTTCCTGTTATCTTCCACACATGAAATTTCTAATGCTTGGATATTTGTCACGGTCTACAAAGCTATTACAAGAAAAACTTTCCCCTTATAAAAAGGATCAGTATTTCATATCCCTTAATTCCAGACCTCACTTCTCTTCTCAGCCACCATTTGGGCTATTTCTGATACTAGTATACTGTCTTGTGCCGTTTCTTAGTTCCTAACGGCTTTAATTAGAGCCCAAGGGACACCAATATTCTAAAGCTCATCCCTTTCTGCTGCTGGTGTGGGTGACTGACAAAATCGAAATCTCTGCCTATTAACTCTACAACCTCACATTTATACTCCAAAAATGTTGTCTGGGATTAGTGCAGAATAATTTTCAAGGCGCAAGAGGTAAAATACAGTATATACAGACAGAAAGTCACCCATAAAGACAAACAAATAGATTTGATGTACATCTTATAAAGGTAATCTTGTACAATATAAGCTTATTTTAATTAACAGAGCTTCAACTGTTTTATTTTATAATATGCAAAAGTACTGAAGAGTAAAAATATGTTTTAATTCCACGGCTGCAGTGTAACTGAAGCAGCGGGAGATGAAGATGAAGGCTCACAAACTCTACTTCCTGCTTGCTGATTCATCGGTGTGAAGACCACAACCAATACAAAGTCATTAACCAAAATGTAAATATATTAGTGAACACTAAACAGCCCAGCAATACAGTTGCTTCTTTACAACAGAAGGTGAGACCAGTCTGGTATGAGAGTGGATTGTGTCATTAGCATACTGCAACCAGGATTCCCCAAGTGACTATAAAAGCCACCCAGTGTGTCACCAGGTTGACAGGCCGGAGTCTGCCAGGGCTTTCTGAGCCTGCAGCAAAGAAGAACCATGTGACCTGATGGATGAAGAGCTC